CACCTTCTCAGGGAGGGGCCTTCCCACAACCTCCCCTCAGCGGCAGACCCATGAGAAGAAACCCTGGTACCCCAGCGCCTGCAGCAAAGGCTCCTGGCAAACCTTGTGATGTTACTCCTCACCGTGTCACGGGACCTGCCTGAGCCCAGGCTGGGAAGCCGCATCCCTGGGGCCAGTCTGTGGGCCTGAAAGGGTCTTTCCTGAGAACTGCTCTGGGGTTTCTGGTCTCCCTTGGACCTGGGAGAGAGGCCGATGCCCTTCTCCTGAAGGACACAGCTCCCACGCTTGCTCTGAGGAAGCTGGCCTGGGAAAGGCTGGTGTGTGAAGATTCACCTAAGGAAATTTCCCAGCCAGTCATTATCCTGGAAGCTCAAGGAAGACGAGGGTCAAAAGAAGGCCTGGATTTCTGCGGAAAAGTATCTCAGCCTTGACAGATGGAGAAAGAGAGGGCAGTGAGGGGCTGGCAGGCCCTCATGGCCCCAAGGGTCCTGTGTGCTGGAGGTGGCCACCTATGTGAACTGTATCATTGAAATGGAGCTGTTTCCTGAATCCTGAATGTGGTCAAAATGGGACCCATGACCAGTGGTGTGTTTGTCTCCGTGTGGCTCTGAGCTGCTAGCAGAGTGCAGGTATGGGGCATTGGCTGCACTGTGTGGGCCCCCCGCCTCCAGGAGAGCAGTTGCAGCCCCCGGCTCACCTGGCTTGCATCTTCCTGGGGCCACAGGGCCCATGTGTGGGTTTGCACCCCTGTCCCTAGGGCAGTCCCGATTCATGCCAGTGTGTCTGGTGGACACAGAGGGACCGTGGGTGTAAGCCAGCTTCCAGTGGGGCCAGGTGAACCCAGAGGAAAAGAGGGGATGTTGTGGGGTCAGCGGAGGGGCCCACATCCAGCACCTGCCCCCCTCCACAAGCAGGGGAACATGAAATGAGGGTCTGAGTCACAGCTGTACTCACACACAGATGCACACTCATGCACAGAGATGTATGAAGATACAAATGCAAGCACAGACACGTGTACATGCTAAGACACACAAGAAAACACACATAGATCCACACACACAGACACACACATGCACAAGACCACACATAGATCCACACATAGACACACACACACAAGACCACACATAGATCTGCACACATAGACATGCACACACACACAAGACCACATGTAGATCCACACACACAGACACACACACACACAAGACCACGCATAGATCTGCACACACACACACACACACAAAACCAGACATAGATCCTCACACACAGACACACACACAAGACCACACATAGACCTGCACACACACACACACACACATACATAAGACCACACATAGATCTGCACACACACACACACACATACATAAGACCACACATAGATCTGCACACACAGACACACATACATAAGACCACACATAGATCCGCACACACAGACACACACACACGAGACCACACATAAATCCACACACACAGAGGCACACACACACAAGCCCACACATAGATCCGTGAACGCATTATAGGTGTGCGTGCATGCATACATGCTCAGTCGCTTCAGGCATGTCCGGCTCTTTGTGACCCCATGGACTGTAGCCCACCAGGCTCCTCTGTCCATGGGAGTCTCCAGGCAAGAATACTGGAGTGGGTTGCCATTTCCTACTCAGGGGATCTTCCCAACCCAGGGATCGAAACTGCATCTCCTGCGCCTCCTGCTTGGCAAATGGATTCTTTACCACTGAGCCACAGGGGAAGCCTGTTCATACAGGCACACTCACACATAATTGCTTCTCTGGTCACAGTGGTAAGTTGGTGACATTTTCCTTGCTGACTTGTCGCTTACCCTCTCCCAAGCATCACTTCTTATGGCGCTGGGTGGTATTGATAAGCACCTCGCCTGCTGGGTAGGTAACAATCCATCAAAAGAACGGCTCGAAACTCATTCGACCATCTACACTGATGGACTCTAAGTTGATTTCCCTTTTGCCACTATAACTCACGCTGCAGTGCACTGCTTTGTGCAAATAGCTTTTGGATCAGCCTCCTAGGATAAATGCCAGCCATGGAATTAGGGGATAAAATAGTAACAGTAAATGGTCCCCAGGCTCCAGACCCTCCTCCATATAGTTTTCATCTGCACAGCCGCCTTCGGAGGAGGCACCATTCTGCCTCTCATGTTACTGGCGGGGATGCTGAGCACAGAGAAGCTGAGCAGCTTGCCCAAGGTCACACAGCTGGTGTGCAGGGAGCTGGGTCAGCATTGCATCGCTGCACAAGTATTGCTGGCTCTCTAGTCATAGCTTCAGACTTTTCCAGGAGGGCTGAGCCAATCCACACCAGTTTCTCCACCACCTGTCACCAGTGCATGTGGCCCCTGCACCCGGTCGGCTGTCTTCCCCTGTGTTTACACTGATCACCTGGCAGTGCCCTGCCTGTGAGCCTGTGGCCTTCCTTAAGACATCAAGAGCAGGCGCCTCTCTTATCCCTTGTCACTCTCCCAACAGCGGAAGAGCCCATTTGTGACCTTCATTTTATCAGCTCCTATTCATATAGAATTCCGAGGCTTCATGGGCCTGGGGATGTGTGTCTGTGTCTATCTCTGTGTGTGCATGTGCTGTATGTATCTCTGTGTGTTTGCTGCAGGTGTGTATCTGTGTTTATGTGTGTGCACATGTGTGTTTCTCTGTGTAGTGTGTGTGCATGTTATGTGTGTCTGCATGTATCTGTGTGCGTTTGGGTGTGTATGTGTTTGTGAGTACATCTGTAGGACTGTGTGTGTGTATTATGTGTGTCTGTGTATCTGTACATCTATTTATTGCATGTGTGTGTCTGTCCCCATGGGGTATGTGTGTTGCGCATGTGTCTCCATGTGTCCATGTATCCGTGTGTGCCTGTATCTGTTGTGCGTGTATGTGTGTCCATGAATGCGTGTGGTTTGTGTGTCTGTGCACCTGTGTGAGTCTGCATGTCTGTGGCCTCTGCAAGGCAGGAGCCCAGATGAACATCCTCGTAGAGAGGCTGTATCCCAGCGTGTGGCACATCAGCCCAGATGCTGGGCTGAGCTGTCGCCCAGCCTCCGCCTAACCTGAGAACCCTCGGCCTTTACTGTTTTCTGTAATCACAGCAAGAATTTCTCATGCAAATAAATTCAGAGCCGGCTGACTCTGCTACCGTCGCCTTGTGAGGTTAAGTTTATTTTGGAACTCGGAGCAATAATAAAAAAATCATTACAGCTGTAATAGACTTGGCAGGGACTTGGCAGTTCCATTCATCAGAGATCACCCTGAGTTTTTGTTTTGTCATTAAGAAAATGAGAGAAATAGCTGTCGTTGTTGGTGAACTATAACTTAATCAGTTAAACACTTGCTACACGTCACAGGTGACATTAAAATTTCGTTACTATTAGATTTGAGGCCCAAATGTCATGACAGAACAAATTGGATCTTTACACAAATAAAAGGATAATTGCCTTTTAATGCCTCTGTTATTCTTGGACAACTCACAGGCACTTGCTTCTGATGTCCCAGTCACTGGGAGCAGAAATGCTTGTTTTAAACTGTGATTAAGAACAACTTTTTGTGTTGTTTTCACTAAGAGAGATTTCATACCTGTGAGAGCAGTGGGTGAGCACAGGTGGAAGCAGAGGAGAGGGCAGCCTCAGCCCGCAGTCTTTCGGGGTCTTGGGGGCCTTCGGGGACAATGGGGAGACTTTGCCAGTCCTCTAAGAGCTTGGAAGAAACTGAGCCCTTAGCCGACAAGGTGGTTGTCTTTGTTTTGAAGTAAATTCTTCCATCCAAAGCTTGGAAGGGGATTTCCCTGGTGACTCAGTGGCAGCAAATCTGCCTGTAAATGCAGGAGACATGGGTTCAATCCCTGATCCGGGAAGATCCCACATTCCTCGGAGCAGCTAAGCCTGCACAGCTACTGAGCCTGGGCCGGGAGCCGCAACTACTGAAGTGTGCACATCCTACAGCCTGTGTTCTGCAACAAAAAAGCCGTCCCAATGAGAAGCCCACACACTGCAACTAGAGAGTGGCCCCCGCTCTCTGAAACTGGAGAAAAAGCCTGTGCAGCGATGAAGACGCAGTACAGACAAAAATAAAAGTAAATAAATTAAAAAAAAAAAAAGCTTGGAAGGTCCCGCTTTCTTACAAAACAGAGATTGTGCCTATTGCTGGAAAGATATTTTTCCTTTATGTTCTCTTTTTCTTCTCCAACTAATATGTTCTCGGTATACCCTGCGTTTATGATGTGAATGTATCAGGAATGAATGAATGAGTCAGCAAGTGTGCAGGTCCATTCACAGTGATACCGCCCACTTTTCTCTGCCACTCTGTCTCATCACAACCTGCTTTGATCACCACTGCTCCATAAGTCCAGTGGAGGTCTTAACACTGATAAATTGCTAATACATCTTAGAAGAAAATGTAACTAGCTCATTGATACATGATTTTACAGATATAATTGCTTGGGGCAAGGCAAGATTTACTGACATTTTTTAAATGTGTAGATGTAAATAGAATTATTACAGGAATATAGTACAGTGAAGTCTGTTGCATATAGCTGCAGAGGTTGTACACTGTATAACTTCAAGGTCTGTCATCCAGAGGGAGCCTGATATTGAGGGGATTCCATAGAGTTGAGCACTGCACAACCTGTGTGACTGCCAATTGTGGCCCTGATTCCTGATACACAGATAAAATAATGAAGGAGGTAGGTAAGTGACTGAAGCTTGGGAAATTATGATCAGGGCAACTAAATAACTCACTGGGTAATCAGATTTAAAAATTTTTAAAATCTACATTAAGTTGCCTGAATTGAATGCTGGTCATCTCTGATGGGTGCAAAGACAAGCCTGAGGCAAGCCCTGGGCACAGTGACCAGGGGATGACAAGGAGCTGAGGGATGATTTGTGAGGACTTGGAAAGAGGGTGGCAGGCCCCCCCCAGGCTGCCGGGGTCTGGGCCACACACTGATGACCCGCTCACTCCCTGCCTGCTTCTCCCCAGGACCCCGGCCATGATCGGCTGCTCCTTCGTTGTGGACCGGGAGTACTTCGGGGACATTGGTCTGCTGGACCCGGGCATGGAGGTGTATGGCGGGGAGAACATAGAGCTAGGCATGAGGGTAAGTGTCGCTGCGCAGCCGCTGGGGCCACTCACGGGATGGTTTGCCGAGCAGACCTGTCCAAAGTTGTGCCTGGCTGGTCTGTGAGCTGCTTGTTATGGGTCAGGAGGAGGTAAAGCCCCTAAACTTAGGTCAATGTAAGAAACCTCGGTGGCAAGGGGACTGGGAAGCATTACGAATGTGCTAATAAGAGACTGTATGTCAGATCTTACTTTATTTCTCAAGCTATTCATTCTGCTGCTTTACACTGAAGTCGGGGCTGGTGGGGAGCTTGGAAACTAAGAGCTGGTCCTGCACATGGGGAGTTTGTGCATCAGTGGCGAGGAGACCCGGGAAGATCATGGGCTTGTCTTGGTGGAGGTGAAAGGCAGAGTGCACATGGGCATTGTGGGCCACTGAAGCCACCATGGCTTCTCCTGGGGGCCAGTGTGTTGAGAAGGCTCCAGACAAGATGTTTTCTTCTAATTATTTTCTTTTTGAGTTCACTTTATTTTTGTTTTTTCATTGGAGGATAATTGCTTTAGAATGTTGTGTTGGTTTCTGCCATACAACAGTGCGAATCTGCCATATATCTCCTCCCTCTTGGACCTCCCTCCCTGCCAATTCACCCCCTAGGTCATCACAGAGCACCAAGCTGAACTCCCTGCACTATGCAGTAACTTCTCCCTGGCTATCTATTTCACACATGGTAGTATGTATCAAGGCTACTCTCTCCATTCGTCCCACTCCCTCCTTCCCCTGCTGTGTCCACTAGATGGTCCTCTACATCTGTGTCATCTAGGAATGTTATGGTCCCAGGTCTTATGCTCAAATCTTTAGTTCATTTTGAGTTAACTTTTGTGCATGGTGTAAGATAGTGGTCCAGCCTGCTGTTTTGTGTATAGCTGCCCAGTTTTCCCTGGACTGCCAAGCACAATTTATTGAGGAGACTATCTTTTCCCTGTTATATGTTCTTGGCTCCTTGGTCATAAATTTACTGGCAATGTGTGCCTGGGTTTATTTCTGGGCTCTCTGTTCTGTCCCATTGATCCATGTGTCTGTTTTTATGCCAATGCCATATGTTTTGATTATCATAGCCTTGTAATATAGTTTGAAATCAAGGCATGTGATGCCTCCAGCTTTGCTCTTCTTTCTCAAGATTGCTTTGGAGTCTTTTGTGATTCCACAGAAATTATAGGTATTATTTGTTTGTTCTATTTCTAAGGGAAAATACCATTGGCATTTTGATAGGGGTGCACTGAATCTGTAGATAGCTGTGGGTAGTATGGTCATTTTAGTAACACTTTTCCAATCCATGAGCAAGAATACTTTTCCATTTATTAGTGTCTTCTTCAGTTTCTTTCATTGCTGTCTTGCAGTTTTCAGTGTGCAGGTCTTTCAGCTCCTTGGTTCAGTGTACTCCTAGGCTAAAATGGGATTGGGTTCTGAGCCAATGCCCAGTCGAAGGCTGGTACTCTGGGCTCCATTCTCAGCTCAGTGGGATGGTCACAGCATGATTGACAGGACACGACACAGCCCATCCGAAGAGGGACGGGCGGGGCTTTCAAGGACCGTGGACCTGGGCTGCCACAGGGCCCTGCTTCCAGGAGACTGTGGGTTTGAACCCTCAGCCCCTGATCATGGGTCACCAAGTCCTTGCCTCACTCCTGCTAATAATACTCCTTCCTTTCCTGTTGCAACTGCAGTCCAGTGACCCTGCTCCACCCAGAGGGCACAGAGGCCCAGGATAGGAAGCAGCTTAGCCAGGTGTAGCCAGGGCTGGAAAGCAGACTCACACTAGCTCAAGACTACCTAACCAGTGGTTAGCTGTCTCTACCCAGTGGCAACACTGGAGCTCCCAAATCAAAACATTTTTGACACAGGATATATTAGCCTTGACAGAGCACCATCACTGGGAAGCTTAAACCCACAGACCAGTCCCAAGACCCAGCATGGCTGGGGGCTGCTGGGGAGGATCCCTCCTGCCTCTCCCAGCTCCTGGTATCTGCTGTCAACCCTGCTCTGATGCAGTGACTGATCAATGAGGACAGAATAGTGGGCAAGATGCCAACAACTTCTTTTTAAATTTTTTAATTTATTTTCGGCTGTGCTGGGTCTTTGTTGCTGTGAGCGGGCTATCTGTAGTTGCAGTGAGTGGGGGCTACTCTCTAGTTGCAGTATGCAGGCTTCTCATTGCAGTGGCTTCTCTTGGTGCGGAGCACTGGCTCTAGGGCTCATGGGTTTCAGTAGTTGTAGCATGTGGGCTCAGTCGTTGGCGGCATACAGGCTCTCTAGTTGTGGTACACAGACTTAGCTGCTCCAAGGTATGTGGGATTTTAGTTCCCTGATCAGGGATTAAACCCATGCCCCCTTCAATGGAAGCATGGAGCCTTAACCACTGGACCACCAGGGAAGTCCCCTCTGGTTACACTTGCCTAAGAATCCTCCAACTATTCTTAATTATCAGGGTTGCCCCATCCAAGGGCAGAGTAACTTGGAGAGCTATGGATGACCCCGGTTGGTGATGCCCTCTCTTAGGGGAAGCTGAATGAGCTTGGTCATGGATCCAAATTGTGAAGCAGAGCAGCTCCCACGGCCTGTAAGTGACAGTCGGCCCACGGGCTCCGGCTGTGTGGGAGTAAGGCTGCCAGGGGCAGGAAAGCCAGAGCCTGACAGGCATGTGAACCCACACTGCCACCTCTGACCTCACTCCTGTTCCCTCCTGCCCCTCTTCAAAGAGGCCAAGACTCAAGGTTTGGGGACAGCCAGTGAACTGACCAAGTCCTGCAGCAGTGGATGGGGTGGCCATGAGTCTCTCACCCACCAGCAACCAAGCCTGAGGTTCAGAGCTGTTTCTGATTTAAATAAGAGGAAGCCAGCATGGGAACTGACTTCCAATTTTTAGGACATTATTTGGGATACGATTCATCATTAGCTGTGATCCTGCGTCCTGATGATCTGACCAGGGTTCTCTGCCTCCCTAATCAATAAAAATTAATCAGCGGCCAAACAAAAAATTTAGGCAAAGCTTTATTGGGTCTTCAGTGGCTACAGAAGGCAGTGAAAACAGTTTCCCTAGCCTGCTCCCCGAGGTGGGGGTGAGCTGAGCTGGCTCCCTATATGCGGTGAGGGTAGGGGTGTGTCCAAGGGTTCAGGCTGGAGGGGTGGCTTAGGTGGTCTGTCCACCCTGTAGGTGGTGCTGTGTGCAGGGGGGGCAAGCACAGTACCCTGCTTTTGCTCCTGGCTCTTCAGAAGTGGCAGTCGGGTTTTAGTCTTTTTGTATCTTTTGTCCAGAATTTGCCCCGACTGGGGCATACTCACAGTTATTTTTAGTCCCTTAGAGTTTCTTTTTGTTTCGTTGCCTGAGCAGACCTTTGTCCAGGTACAAGCCTGCAGCAAAGGGTCCCAGGTCCCAGCCGGTCTCACCGAGGCCCCAGGATGCTGACAGCCGCTCCACCACTCAGAGTGCCGAGCCGAGCAGGTTCGCAGGCAGAGCGGAGGGGCTGGGAGACCCACCGCGAGGATGGGGCAGGTCCCTCAGCCTGGTTCTCAGACGCCAGCAGCATCAGAATCCCCTAGAGGCTCCTTACAAATAGATCACTGAGCCCCATCCCAGACATGTGGATTCAGTACGGCAGGGTGGAGCCCAGGGATCTTCATCTCCAACAAATTCCCAGGGGCCACGGACTCCACTGGAGCCCACTTGAGAATCAGCTGCCCACCCCCCAGCTGCCACTCTGGGGGCCGTGAACCAGCCAGGCTCGCATGCTGCTTGCTTTGCACAGGGCCTGGCGCATTACTGAGCTCACTCCATAAATACGGACAGAGGGGAAGGGGCCAGGGGCCAGGACTTGGGGCCTCCTGTGGCCAGGCTGTGCTGAGGTGGGGCTGAGCTCTGATTGATTTGGGGTCCTTGGGCTTTTATGTATTGTTTCTGGAGTTTCATTTAGGTGTTTGTCTGTGGAGACTTTATTCACAGAAAAGATTATTTAAGACTTATTTTTTTAAATTTATAAACAGTTTATTGAAGTTACACTTTTCCAAACCTGTCTGTTTTAAGGTTTTAAAGTAAAACCTACAGATCATATTATTATGGTTATAAATATAATAAAAGAACACTCAACTTCCCCTTTTCTTTGATTAATGTTTGATTAACTCAGATTGAATAGATTAAACACTATTAAACAATGATCAGTTCCATTTCTGCCTAGTTAAATTCCCTTGAACCTTTTAAAATGACACTTACAAATGTGGCATATTTTCTTTTCTCTTTAAGCTCTTTGAAGGCCTGATGTCACTGCAGAAGCTCCCCTAAGTGCTTACAAAATTCTCCTGTGTCTAGTATATCAAACTTTTACCACATCTCAAATTCTCTGAAGCCTTTCAGGATTGTTTGCAAATGTTTTAAATTCTCTGACAAGGTCCAATTTTAAACCACAAATTTAGAATCAACCCTCAGTTATACATGTTAAAATGGAATCACAGGATTAATCTGGTAGTCTTCAATATGCTGACTTTTCAGCATTAAAGACCAAACCTTTTCAAATGATTCTTGAACCTGACAGGTAGCAACAGTTCTCTGTATTTGGTCTATTCCTCCTTCTCTACACTGGATTCTAATCCATCCTAGAGTTAGATGATGTCAGTTCAGGGAGCAGGGTCAGAGTCCCGAGGAAGCTACAGTGGTCCTGGGGGATGGGGGAGCCTGGCTGCTGCCCCTGACACTCGAACTGGGTGGGGGGAACATGATGCTCAGTGGACAGGCACCTGGGCAGAGGGATCCCCCCGGAGAAGGATGAACCACCATTGGAGACGCAAGGCATGCATGCGGGGCTGGGCAGAGGAGAGGCACCCCCACGACCTTTCACTTCCTGTCTCCTTCCAAACCAAACTCAGCTGGCAGCTAAGGGCAGGAAGGGACCCACCTGGAAGGGCAGTTGGGATTGGCTTGCCTGCCAAGTCAGGTGGGGCCATCCAGGGGTTGTGGGCCATGAGAGGCAGGAGGAGGAATTTGAGGGCAG